TTGATGAATGATGAGAGGTACACTTGTCTGTAAATATAAGTAATATATTTTAGAATATAGTAAGAAATTAAATTGGTGTAGGAATATGACATAAGTAGGTTCTTCTCTAGGTCTATGGCCTCTCCAGCCATGTGTACTTGGCTATGTTTACAGTTCCATGCATGAATTCTCTTCCTTTGAGTGGGCCTTAAGTCTGATTAGACAGCTATTGATTATCCCCAAGATAAAAGTGCTACTGCTGCACCAAATAGATATAGTTTACTGAACTTGACATTGCTGTGGTTCATAGACTTTACAGTTGGGTAGGACCATTGATTGTTTTTCTTCCTTGGCAGCTTGTATAGTACCTTCTGATACTATGAGAGCTAGTTTTCAGGGAGGAGGCTTCCAGGTCAGTTCTAGATCAATTAATTGCTTCAAGTCCTACGTCTGAAGTATGTCGTGTCTTCAGCAATATTGACTAACAAAGGCTGCGGCAACAACCTGTGTTATTTTGGGAGTCTCTTGGACTATGATGACCAACAACTCAAAGGGATGGTCCCCTTGCCTGGCACTGTGATTTTTGTTATGGATCCTTTAGTTGTTGTTTACTTTCTTAATGATACCTGTTCTGGCTGGTATGAGAAGAAATCATGAGGTAGTTTGAATTTGCTTTTCTCTGATGGCTAAGGACAGTAGACACTTTTCTCATGTATTTATTGAACATTTATACTTCATTTTTTGCAAATTGCTTATTTTATTTACCCAGTTCTTGGTTGGCTTATCTAGTTTTTGGCATTTAGTGTTTAGAGTTCTTGGCATAGTTTAGATACAGCTAGAAAAGATTTTCTCCAACTTTGTAGATTGCTAAATTTTTATTTCATGCAGAGAAAATAATTTGGGATTAGAATTCAGACAATTTGAATTTAAAGTACAGGAAAGACTTTTTTTCCTCAGCTTAATTTCATGCAAATAACTTTGCTTCTCTAAATCCAGTAAACTGGGCAGAATATAAATCATGAGTCTGCATGTGTTTTTACAAACTGCTGAATAAACATTATTTAATTATCACAGTTCTTTTATTTTTACATAACTATTCATATTTATATCCTTGAGGCATAGGGTCATTTTTAGGTCTTCAAATGCCTGGAATTGGGTCTAGTAGTTTCTTTTTATTTTCTATGTAGAGCCACTAGTCAATAGAAATATGAATCACACATGTAATCTAAAATATTTTTAGTAACTACATGTAGTAAACTAAAAAAAGCAAAAGAATATTTATACCGTATGTTTTATTTAACCCCATATGTAACACATTTATAAGTACAACATTATTAATATAAAAATAACAAGGGAAATTACATTCTTTTCTGTGAACTAAGTCTTTGTAGTCTAATTGTACTTTGAACTTATAGCATATGCTAACTCAGAATAGGCACTCACTAACCACGTGCTGCTAATAGCTACCATATTTGATGTTGTAGTTACAAGGCCTAAAACAGTATCTGATTGATTCCTACCCAAATGCTCTATTTGCGACAGACTGATTTTTTTGGTTGTCTTTTTGTATGCTTAATTGTGTTTGATGTGCGACTAACTATACACTTTATGAAGTGTTTTCTTTAACTAGAAAGTCCCCTTCCACTCTCTCTATTTAAACAAATGATCTATAATACACAAATGTTCTGAGCTTCTGCAGAAACCTTCTCATGCTCAGCCCACAAAATCTCCCTTGGCCAAAGCTACACCACATATCACGTGCCACGTAGCATATAATTTATTTTCTATATCATATTTGACAACAGACATCATAAATGCACACTGGTTATTATGTTATAGGTTAGAAAATCATCTGTCATTTATAAATATAAACTAAACTAAGTAGCTTCTATGGAAAAAAGAGCAAAAAAGCAATACAAAAATAGAATAGATCTCTGACAAATCAATGATCTAGACCAGTATTGCTAAAGATTTTCTTTGGACAGCAGTTGTTATTCACACCTCCATGCCAGAAAGACCCCATGGTTAAATGCATTTTGGAATGCATATTTAAACAAGATTAGGCAGGTTTTTATAAAACAGGAATCCTTAGCATCTTTATTGTATGGTGGATTTCCCCAAGAGCTGGCTATCAGATGTTGTGATTCCAAATACACTTGATACGGGAATTTTTTTCTTGGGAGCACTTTATGTGATCACTGTTTTGTAGAACCTCATTTGGGAAATGTTGGCCTAGAAGACAATAGGAATTATAGGAGTGAAGGCCAAGAACAGGGGCAAAAGTAAGAATTCTCCAAATTCTAATGGAGGCTGCTCAAAAACAGTAAGGGAAAGGCTGGGGTGGAGCTTGGAGTCCAGCCTCAGGGAACTTAGTGAGTGAGTGCTCCTTCAATAGGGTTTGGTTTATTTGTCTTCATATTTCCTGAGAACTCTTCATTTTCATTTCTTCGGCAATGCCCTTCCTTCAGCCTCAAAATCCCTTCCCAAGCTTCCTTTCCTACAAGAATCTTTCTCACATCAGGCCAAATTTAAATACTACTTCTTATATTGCTCTTTCCCCTTTTTGCTTCTTTCTATTATTATTATTGCTGTCATTGTTGTTATTATTATTAAAATTTGAGGCACTGTCTCACTCCATAGCCCAGACTGGCCTTAAACTCACCATCTTCTTGCCTCAGCCTCCTGAAAACTTGAATTTCAGGAGTGTACCACCATGGCCAGTTCACTTCTTATTCAATATGTGTCCTTGATTTCCCACCCAGATGAGAATTCTCCTCCTTTCCTTCAACACTCTTCAAATGCATCCTTTATGGTATCAAGTCCGAAAGCTATGACATAATTATTGCTATTTTGGTTTTCTCCATAAGGCATTCTAAACTTTTGGTTTTGAATCCTGATCATTCTGAACCCAGATAGACATGCATTAAATTTGCAAGGAAAATTTTGGGTAAATGATGAACTTAAGGATATGCCTGTTGTCCTCACATAGATAAGAGGGAAACTTCATCAAACAGAAGTTATGTGCCTTATAGGTTTTTTTGAAAAAAAGCTTTTATTTTAGAATAGTTTTAGATTTACAGAAAAATTGAAAGATAATGCTGAGAGTTCCTGTGTACCCTATCCCCAGTTTTTTCTATTATTATCTTAATCACATGATACGTTTATAACAATGGACAAATCAATACACACTATTGCAATGTATCAATAAAATGTTTACTATATATTCAGATTTCTTCATTTTCCTTAATGTTCCTTTTCTCTTCATCTTTTCTAAAATACATTCTGTTGTTATTGCTTCTCGAGTTCCCCTGGACTGTTTCTCAAACTTTTTTTTTTGTCTTTTTGAAACAGGGTCTCCCTGAAGCCCAAGCTGTTCTGGAACTCACTATGTAGACCAGGCTGGCCTTGAACTCACAGAGATCCGCCTGCCTCTGCCTCCCAAGTGCTGGGATTAAAGGCGTGCACTACCACGCCCGGCTTCTCATACCTTTTAAATTAATTTAATTTGGGGATATGGATAATCTCTTACTATGTAACCTGACCTCAAACATGCAATCCCTTGAATGCTAGTTATTATTGGTGTATACCATCACACCCAGTCAGGGGTGTGATTAGCTTGACTGTTTTGAGAAGTACCAGTCAGGAATATGGTCCTTATGGAAGGTTTATCTGGTATTTTCTCATGATTATGCAGAGTTTATATGTTGGGGAAGGTAAATCAGAGCTATAAAAGGCCTTTCTTCTCACATAATGTCAGGGTCACATGCTTCAAACATGGCTTAGCACTATAAATTTTAATCTTTGCCACTTTCTCAAGTCAGTATTTGTCCTTTCAAAAAATATTCTTGGGACTGGAGAGATGGCTCAGCGGTTAAGAACACTGGCTGTTCTTGCAGAAGACCTGGGTTCGAATCCCAGCACCCACATGGCAGCTAACAACTGTCTGTGACTCCAGTTCCAGGGGATCCAACAGCGTCTTCTGACCTCCATGGGCATTGCATGACACAGGTACACTTACTTACATGCAGGCATTACATGCATACACATAAAATAAAAATAAATAAAATATTAAAGAAATATTTCCAATGATCAACATTGTTTCTTACAGAGTCACAGCATATTAAAGGTGTGTCCATGGCTTTGAGTATTGATTTCATTATGATGAAGTCATGAAGCTCATGTTTGGTAAATGATGATGGTGATGATGATGATGATGATGATGATGATACCTGAATCCTTGCTTTATATTCTACATGACTCCTAAAATTCACAAATCTTCCATTGCAATTAAAGCTTAGTGTAGAAAACCAGAGCCTGCACTCGAAAGAGATTGTCTGTAATGAATAAGTATGATTCCATGTTCTGGAACACAGCATGAAACATAGTGTGCTATGTGTACCAGCTCACACCCAGCTTCCAGCAAGTAGAGCAGCCACACAACTGCGGACACTTCACTCTGGCAAGCTTAGCCACTGCTGTCCCCTACCTTGAGAGGGGTAATCATCGTGTAGGAGGATAATAACTTGGCTGACAACTACCTCAGCCTGGTCAAGATGAGTCCCATTTGCATATTGTCCCTGTACAGTCAGATTTCTCACAAGACTGACTATATTAACCTTGCCCAAGAAGCTCCTTTGGTATGATATATTTAAAAGGTCAGAAGAAAGCAAGAACCAGCAGGCTAGGTCAAGCAGAAAGCTGTGTAAAAAAAGATAATGGGAATCATAGATGATCAGCTACTTCCTGGGAACGCACCAGGATAAAGGGAAAGACAGTAGATCAAAAGAAGGAAGAGATTGAGGGAAGTAAATGGAGAGTTCCAGGTGTTTAGCTCAGAAGCAATTAACAAATAAGAATTTAACATTTATCAGTCAAGTTAGGATTTTCAGAGAAGGGTGCACATCTTAATGATCATCTTTCCTGTCTAATTTGAAGAGCCATTTGTTCATTTTTAAGAGTCTTAGACTTTATAAAAATATAATTCATTTGGATAATTTCTGCAAGTTCCTCAGTCCAATTGCTTATATTTGTTCAGAGAACAAATTCAAAGTGTCAGAACTGTTCTTGAAAATCTGTCCACTTATAATAATTTTCATAGCTTTCTTAAACCATGGGTAAAATAAAGCATAAATCAAAGGGTTCATGGCTGAGTTATAATAAGCACACCAAACACAAATCTCATAAATGTAGGCAGGCGTGATGAACCCCATAAAAGCATCAATTAATGAGTCAATGCTGTACGGTAACCAAGAGATCATAAAGGCCACGACTGTGATTCCCAGAATTTTGGCTGCTTTTCTCTCTCTCCTGGCCACTCTGGCTTTGTAACTTTCTGCGGATGAATCAGTTTTGCTACCAGTATTTTCAATCTTTTTAGCCTGTTGCCTAGCTACCATAAAAATATTACTGTACAGGATTATCATAATAAAGGTAGGTATAAAGAAGGATAGAAAATCTATCAACACCCAGTTCTGATTTACAACTACCTGACACCCTCCTACACAGTTGAGGGCACTGGATAATTCCTCTAGCCCATCTTCATAAACCCCTGTGTAGAACACGGCACCACTGTACACCAGGGGTAGGATCCAGGAGATAGTGATGCAAATTCCTGACACAGACACTGTGAACTTGGTGGGATAGACCAGAGGGTCAGTGACAGCGATGTACCTGTCGATGGAGATGAAGCACAGGTGGAAGAGAGAAGAGTAACAAAATGCCACGTCACAGCATGTGTGGAGAGTGCAGAAACTTCTCCCAAAGTACCAGCAGCTCTCGATGGACCTGACCATGCTGAAGGGCATCACAGAGACCCCCACACAGAAGTCCGCACAGGCCAGGGATGCTATGAGGAAATTGGTGGGCGAGTGTAGCTGCTTGAAATGGAGGATGGACGTCACCACTAGGAGATTTCCAAACACTGCCAGCACAGCCCCTAAACCAAAGACTGCATAGAGGATGACTCGAGACCCAGGTGAGTAGGGAGTTTTCACACAGGACCCGTTCACATTCTCATAGCAGAGCTGCAGGGCTGCGGGTGGAGAAGAGTTGACGTTCATGGTGCTGCTGTTCTCATGGGCACAAGGTCTGCCCTTGATTTCAAGAATTTGGGAACCTACTTTCAGTACTGCTAGGGGAAGAAGTCCACATCAATCCAGTAGGATGACAGAAAATATTACAAGATATTAACCTTAATATAATTTTTCAATTTTAATTCTTATAATTTCCAAAATTCTCTAGAAGAAAATGAAATCCAATAAATTGTCCAAAATTACTGAGAATGAACTTTAATTATCAAAATGGCTCATCTCTTGAACCTGTTAAATTTTCCTTGGGTCCTAAATATCTTTTCATATTTTAACTTTTACCTCTAGTGTTATTCTGGGCAGCAATCAGTAATAGCAAATGCAGTTGTAGAGCTAATGGGTCATCTGTAGTTTCAGTCCTGAGTTACGTGTCTTGAACTACTACCTGAAAGATGTGGTCCTTCAGCTAAATAGACAACATCAAGGGGGAAAATCCCTTGATGAAATCCCTGTAGTGCAAGGTGTGAAATAATAAGATTATATCCAACAGTGATTATTAGGAAAGTTATTCTACAAAACAAATCTTTCTTCTATATTACCTCTAATTACTATCAAGTATTTTATGCTAAAGAGTTCTTTTTCCTTAGTTTAGAAACTTGGGCCATGCCCTTCTCAATTATGAGTCACCTTAGGTTCTACAAAGACATAACAGAGTTACTAGGTTTAAAGGTCAATTTGGTTCTTCCTGACCTGTTAAGAGTCACATATCCAGCATGGCTAGGAAGGAGAAAAGCTTACTTACAGTGAGGGAAAGAGGATAGTGATGAGGTATGTTGTACGGAGGTCTGAATGAGCTTCAGAGTTTGGATACAGCAGCTTTTCTGAGGTGCTAGAAGGAAGATAAGTTCTGCTCTCAAGCAGGAAAGTGACACCTGGGGCCCGTATGTGATCTCTCTCCAATGACTCTCCATCCATGTGAGAGATGGTCAGTGAGTGCTGCAACTGCAGCTTGTGGTTCCTGGTGGTCAGCCTCTCTGCCCACAATTTGAAGGAAATTTCAATTTAAAAAGAACTTGCACAGGAAGTAAGGACACTGAAATGCATTCCTTGCTCATATTCTCAATCCTGGTCTGTTAGAACATTGGTGACCGAGGCAAAGTGTGCTTAGGCCTTCTTAAGGAAGGGTTCAGGACTCTGGCAGTGCGGGATGGGAGTCTTGGAGACATTTACTAAGCTTGCTGTGTGCATTCTAAAGAGTGAGTCTTTTTTTTTTTAATTCCTATTACTGGCTATCTGATCATGAATCGATAGAATCCACATTTTTTGCTGAACATTCTTTCAGATTCCTAACATTTTCTGAGTGTCTGTTGTGAAATGATGCCTGTTGCTTATGCTGCAAAACCCTGTACCAGGTTTTGTCCACCTGGCTCTATAGCGATTACAAAGTATCCTATATGTTGTATGGCACTGAACAGCATTCCTACTCAGAACCAATAAAATGCCCCCAGTTGTGATGGCTAAAAATATCTCCAAGCATTGTCATTATAGCCTCAGGAGGCAAAATAACCTCCTTCTGCTCATTGAGATATGTGTTCTAGTCAATATACTTTTCTATTGTTATTCTTGCCATTCTGAGTAGAGAAATAGCTATAACTCCCTCCATTGTTCTGTGATTTATTCATTGACTTGTCTACTCAAAACGTTGAATGTCTGTAACTGGGTATATAAGAATGAATGAAACACATGTGATGTCTATGCTCATAAAACCTGAGGTCTTGATGGAGAAATAAGCTTGAAACACATACGTGGAGAGATGGACGTGAGACTATAGGTGGCCGTGAGTAACAGAAAAGAGAAAGGAAGGCTTCTGGCAGTGCAGTAAACCCCAGGACAGGCAGACTCAGCCCTAGGGACCCCAAGACAGGTTAGAAAATCATGCTGCTTCAATAGCTGCACATTTTAAACTAGTCTATATATTTATGTCATGTAAACTCAATAGAGAAATCAAGGTTAATTTGAACCTTCATGTTCAGACTAATTCAATAAGTAGCATTTCCCCCAGTACCAAGTTGGGCTATAAGTAAAAGCTCTTCCAAAGGCCTTTATAATATTTGTACAAACATGGCTCTTCTAATATTTTCCCTAAGACCATTTTCAGTAAATACTTTTGCAAGTTGAAGAAGTAGTCCTGCTTCCCATGGGTCTATGACTCCAATACCCAGGAAAAGGCTTTTAAGGAAAACTTTTGGGTCTTACATCAGCTAAAGTTTTCATTCTCATGTCTACACTTCATCTTTAGTTTTGTCTCAAAGATATTCCTAAAAGTTCATTAATGAGACCATTTCTCTAGTGATTGAGGGTGTGAAACCACCCTCGTTATGACCAAAGTTAGAAAAGGATGTGATAATGACAGCCTGTGGTCACAGCAGAGCCCAAACTCAGAAGACTGTTAATGAGAGGGCATGGGGAGAAGTGTTTTATTCTTGTCTCTATGGATTAGAGGCTGGAGGTAACCAAACAAGGCAGCTCCAACTATTAATCTGTAAATGAAGAGCAGTGGGCATTCGGTACATGCAGGTAATTTGTCTACTAATGATCTGAGAAGTTCAAGAGGTTAGCGTACTATTGAATCAACTTGATTCACTGTTTAAGCCATCTGGGTTTCAAAAGTGCTTCTCACAAACATGTTAACTGCTTGTGAATACTTGAAGTAGAATAAGAAATAGTAAGACGGTATTTTTTTTCTCCAAGTTTGTTTTAGCAAGTCTTTCCTTCTTCTTCCCCTAGTCAGACTTTGTATCACTCATGCTTGCCAACGAACACTGTCAGACTACAAAACTGATTCTAGGGGCTGGAGAGATGGCTCAGCAGTTAAGAGCACTGACTGCTCTTGCAGAGGACCAGGGTTCCATTTCCAGCACCCACTGGCAGCTACCAACAGTCCTTAACTCCAGTTCCAGGGGAATCCGAAGCCCTCTTCTGACCTCTGTGGCA